AAGAATAATATTAGTACGTAACGAACCGAACGTAGTAGACGACGACAACTAACAACAACTAATAATATATATATATATATATATATATATATATATATATATATATATGAAAAGTCTTTGCAACACCTCTAGGCGAGAATCTATAGTGATTGCCCCACCCAATCGATACTCTGTTCAAAAAAATTGAAATGAAGGATCCTGATTAGCTGAAAACACTCCACGTGTGAAGCGTCCCTGATTGGCTCAAAAAGCTTCAAACCTCAAAATATTTCCTTTTACCCTTCTTTCCCGTTTCCTCGCCTCTGCAACCTCCCTCTCCCTCTCTAGGACGTCCCTCTCTCTCTCCTCTGCTATGTGAAGTGAAGAGCTATTCTTTCTCGTTCATCTCCTTCTCTCTCTGCGAAGCTCTGAACACGGTCATCTTTGTTGTCCTCTCCTCTCGCTGAGAAGCTTCGGGTCTGCCACAGACACCGCACACTTCTCTTCTGTTAGGAAAAGTCTTTGCAATGCCTCTAGGCGAGAATCTATAGTGATTTTGCCCCCACCCAATGGACAGTCCGTTCAAAACAATTGAAATGAAGGCTCTTGATTAGCTGAGAACACTCCACCCACGGAACGCCCCTGATTTGCTCAAAAAGCTTCAAACCTCAAAATATTTCCTTTTACCCTTCTTTCCCATTTCCTCTCCTCTGCGACCTCCCTCTCTCTCTAAGGCGTCCCTCTCTCTACGAGGCTCCCCTCTTGGCTTGTCCTCTTCTCTCCTCTGTTGTATGAAGTGAAGAGCTATTCTTTCTGGTTCATCTCCTCCCCTCTCCGCGAAGCCCGAACGCGGTCATCTTCATCGTCCTCTCCTCTCGTTGAGAAGCTTCGGTTCTACCACAGACGCTGCACACTCCTCCTCTGTTTAGGGGATCAATTGAGTGAGTGATTATCTTTCTCTTTTTTGCTCGAGCCCAAGCCACAATCTAACCCTACTTCATAAAATTTGTTTACAGTGGGTAAAATCTCTCTATTGCTCTTATAAAAAAACCCAATTTTTTTCCAAAAACCTACCCAAAGCTCTACGTTTTTTTCCTAATACCCTACTTTTTTTTCCCCAAAACCCATCTTTTTAATGTTTCATTTCAACGGTTAAATGGATCCTACCTTTTCCCTCTCCTGTGCTAACTCAATCAAAGTATGTGTCCTGTCTAGGCCCTTTTATCCAATTTTCTTCAAAATTAAATCATAAAAACAAAGAAAACTGAGTTACATTGTTTTAATGGGTTTCACTACACAATTTTAATTATTTGGATCTATAACTTGAAGAAGTTGCAATGAATACAGCCAAATGTCCTAATAGAAAAAAAAAAAAAGGCCTAACTTTCAATTGAAATTTTAATAAATTATTTGGTTTTATGTTATTCTTTTATTTTCTATTTCACAAATACGTAATTTTCAATTAAATTTTATGATTGAAATACCTAATTTTAAATAGTCATTCAGAAGGAATATAGTTTTCAAACTACTGCTCTAATAGGTTCAGGAGCAGATTTAAATTGTATAAATGAAGGGCTTGTCCCTACTAAATATTTTAGTAAGACGACACAAGTCTTAAATACAACAGATGACAGTAAAATGATTATAAACTATAAACTTTCTGATGCTGCAGTATATAATAATGGAAACTGCTTTGAATTCCCTTCATTATGGTGAAGGATTAAGCCAATCCGTAATCCTAGGAACTCCATTTTTAAATATTCTTTATCCAATAAAAATTGATAGCACTGGAATTGAAGCTAATATTGAAGGGCATGATGTAAAATTCAATTTCATTGAAAAACCCAAAATTCGAGAAATCAATAATATAAAAGAAAAAATCTCTAATAAAGAAAATTTTTTATATTACCTCAAGGACGAAATAAAATATAAAACAGTAGAAACCAAACTCTTGATTCGTGAAAATAAAAGAACAATAGAAAGCCTTAAAAATAATATTGAAAAAGAAATATGTGCTGAACTCCCAAATGCTTTTTGGGATAGACAAAAACATATTGTTAATTTACCATATGAAGCTGATTTTCATTATGATAAAATTCCTACCAAAGCTAGGTCTATTCAAATGAATCTTAGACTTTTAGAAATCTGTAAAAAGAAGATTGTTGAGTTACTTCAAAAGAGACTTACTAGAGAAATACATTAACAACTCTTGAAGTGAATATTTTTCTATCACGCAAAGACGTAAAACAAAAGCAAAAATAACTAAAGAGTTCTCGCATGTTCATTAAGAAGGTTTCTCGCATGTGAAAGACTCAACTAAGCTCCTATTTACTAAATATATTAGTGAAGAACTGTCAAGAGTGTATCAATATTGCCACATTTCAAAAAAGAGTATATAAAATATTTTCTAATTAATCAAACAAACATATTGGGAGCAACAAATGGTACATGCAACAAGAATATTGCAAAAATTGCAACAAAGGGTGCATTTTTTAGGTGTGCCTTAATTTGATTGTTTAGGACCTCACCCTCAAGTAAACTTTTTGCCCCCCTTCAAGCCACGATACAATTAGTAATAAACAGATCTTGGTGGTGGAAATTATATTATAAACGGATTGTGTGTAGCATAGAGAGAGAGGGATAGAGAAGAACTGTGTGTGTGGCATAGATAGAGAGGGCAAGGAAGAACTCACTTGGTTTGTTGAAGAACTGTATACATGGCTTTGGCAATAAGAAACAAGAAGCAAGAAGCAAGAGCACTTTAGAGCAAAAAGAACAAGAATTTTTAGTAATCAACCATGTAATCATAATTATTTAATTGAAAGCTAGGTATATATATACAAATAATATATATACCAATTAACAAACAATTAACAGACAATTAACAGATACCAATTTCTGAACCAGTTTGGGAATTCCCTTATTACTAGTATTTTTATTTGTAGAAACCATATAAGAGAATTCATATCATTTTGAAAAGCAAACACTTCATGCCATGCTTTAATATATTCAAAATATTGGTAGTATTTATTATTGAAACCTTCAGCTTGTATTCTTCTAGGTTTCAGTGGGTCAACACCCCATTCTTTATATGAAATTATTTTGCGTATTTGGAATTTGGAATATGCAATCATATTAGTATTTTTTTTATAAAAATGGACCATAGTTATTGATCTTGTTTCAAGAATGATGGTTTCATACCATTCTCTATTCTTTTCTCCATTATTAGGATGTAGATGATTTCTCACATATATTGCAGCTATTTCACTGGGATATTTATCCTTGTGATCATCTTCTATCATGATAATCGTTATAAAAGAAGTTTCTATAAATTTGCTTTTTTTCTCCGGGTGTATTTGCAGTTATTGGTTTAGGCTCAAGAGAAAATGTTATTTCTTGAGCTTGTTTTCTAATTAATTGTTTTGGGGTTATTGGTGATGATGATGATGCCAAGGTTTTACTTGGAACCGGGACTATCTCCATATTTTCCTTTTTTGGTAGATTCCTCCTGCCCTCCCTGCAAAAATTCTCGGGTCAAAAAGTTAGGATAATTAGTATTACCTTTGATATGTTCAATGTCAAATTCAAAGGAAGAGAGAATACCTTGCCATCTCGCAAAGATCT